GCTCTGAAACTTGGAAGCTGCTTAAATCAGGGCTGACTGGCAAGTACTTTATCTATCTCAATTCCTTTCTGTTATCTCTTTGCTGTGCTATTGTTCTCTGTATATTTTTATATATATTGGCTACATCTTGTTCTGTAAATATTTTTATTGCACCCTTTTGACCTTTTAATAAATCTTACTTTCTGAACGTGTTGAACTGTTTCTAAAGCTCTTTACTGCAAATTACAAATTCCTGCCGCTGAAGAGCGCTACTGTGTGTGTTTTTAACCCCCTGTATAACCTGCCTGTGGTGACAGTGGTATACAGACGATTATCCAACCATCATAGCGTTATTGCTAATATTGCCGAGTTTCCTCTTTCTCTGTACAAAAAAGAGGTGGTGGCAGTGTGAAGGGTTAATTGCGTAATTAACCTGACCCAGTAACAATCTCTCTCAGGCTGCCGGTACATCAATTGTGGTCCAGTGAGCTGGAAAATCTTTGTGCAGGGTGCAGCTGGGCGTGGCATTGTTATGCATGTGACAGTGTGATTTTAGATTGGCTAGTCCTTCGGTCACGAGTTTGGTGAGAAGGGCTGGGGTCTGACGCCGCGATCGTCACACTGCCCATCTTTATTTTTGAGACACTCTGACTCTCTAAGATGCCCTTTTTATACCCAATCATGTTACTAACCTGTTACCAATTAGTTGCAAAATGTTTTTCCAACTATTTGTTAGTACCACTTGCTTTGCCAGCTTTTTGTTGCCCTGTCCCAACCTTTTTTGATATGTGTTGCTCTCTTCTTCCTCATAGGGCATATTAATAGTAGTGGGAGCCATTGGCTCCTGCTGCTCTCAATAAAATTCTATAGTGAGGGACCAGGGCAAAGTCCCGCTGTCTGTGTCTGTGGATGCAGGCCGAATGGCATGGGAGCAAACCTGCACGAGTACCCCTTAGCAAGAAGCAGTTACTCGGCAGGTGGGGAGGAGCTATGAGCGTCAGTGAGGGACCCAAGATGAGAAGAATTTGGGCTGCTTTGTGCAAAAGCATTGCACAGAGCAGGAAAATAAAACATGTTTCTTTTTTTAAAAGATTAAATGCTTAGATACACTTGATGGGCTGGGTCATATGTAGATATATATTTGTGCATAAGCAGCCTAATGTGAAACTATATTTCACTGTGTGTGGGTGAGCTCTCGCCCAGGGGCGTAATTGCCACGAGGCAAACAAGGTGTTTGCCTATGGTGGTACTTTTCAGGAGGGCGGCGCCGCCACCCCCCTTTCCCACGGAAGGGACAATTCCATGGGAAAGGGACATAGCCTTCTGTGTCTTAGCTGTGTCGGTGACTCCGTGCCCCATGTGGGAGGAATAGTGCCCAATCATTTGTGTCAGTGGGAGGAATAGTGCCCCAACATTGGTGTCAGTGGGAGGAATAGTGCCTCACCGTTGTTGTCAGTGGGAGGAATAGTGTCCATAGTGCCCCATCATTGGTGTCAGTGGGAGGAATAGTGCCCCATCATTGGTGTCAGTGGGAGGAATAGTGCCTCATCATTGGTCTCAGTGGGAGGAATAGTGCACCATCATTGGTGTCAGTGGGAGGAATAGTGCCCCATCGTTGGTGTCAGTGGGAGGAATAGTGCCCCAATCGTTGGTGTCAGTGGGAGGAATAGTGCCCCATCCTTGGTGTCAGTGGGAGGAATAGTGGCCCATCATTGGTGTCAGTGAGAGGAATAGTGGCCCATCGTTGGTGTCAGTGAGAGGAATACTGGCCCATCATTGGTGTCAGTGGGAGGAATAGTGCCCCATCCTTGGTGTCAGTGGGAGGTATAGTGCCCCATCCTTGGTGTCAGTGGGAGGAATAGCGCCCCACCGTTGTTGTCAGTGGGAGGTATAGCGTCCCAATGTTGTTATCAATGGAAGAAATAGTTGTCAGTGGGCGGAGCTCTAATAGGAAGAGGTGGGGCCTAAAGAGGAAGGAGTGTAGTTTACAGATGAAGGGGTGGGTCTTAAACAGGAAGGTGTGTGGCAAATTTAGATGCGGGGGTGCCCGATTTTAGTCTTGCCTAGGGCAGCACAAAACCGAAATACACCACTGCTCTCGCCTTAATGTGCAAGTAGGCACAGCTACTTGCACACTATAGTGCACGTACCTCATACAATGCCCTCCTCCAGCAATGACAGGTACAGCCTCCAAGTACTGCTCTGTCGTGAACATCCCCCTCCAATTCTTCTGGGTTCCACAATTGTATTTTTCTGCTATTGGAAGCCCATTGTCAATGTAACTCCTGCACATGCACAATAGTTACATTGTCCCTGACACCTGGCTCTATTCTTGGCATGCTGCATGCACTGTGCAGTGTACATTCCAGGAGGTAAATCACTAGGAATGTGGGGGAACAATTTTTTGGCAAAAGAGACTTTGCATATATCCTTTGCCAAAGAAAAAAGCTCTTAGCTTCTAGCAATTTTTCAAAGTAGGATTTCAGCTCCCCTTTAACAGAATACACTAAGGAAATTAAACTCTTACCATCCAAGCCTGGAGTATGAGGAGCTCACAAAATAGGTAGCGGATGGAGTGGAAATATGCTTTGAATTCAGGAAATTAAAAACCTGGACTGAAGTCACCGATTGAGCAGCATTACTTATCAGCTGCACAGATCTCTGTAAGAAGGTAACAGACATTATTAATTTTCATTGTATTACTGTAACCATCTTGTATTGTCAGACATAACTTTTCCTTTGGTAGATAAAACCTTAACCACTTCCCTGCCTCCCTATAGCAGAAATACTGCTACACGGCAACAGGGCTCTGCAAAATCATGTATATATACGTGATTTTGCATTTCTGGGTAGGGGGCACGCGCGCCCTACCTGTGTTACCATTGGCAGCCTCAGCTGTCGATCACCAGGTCCCGGCCGGTGATTCTCCACCGGCATCCGGCGATTGCCAAGTATCACTGATGGGGGAGTGGTCTGTATGTAAACAATACAGATCTCTTCTCTGTCAGCTCCTGCACACTGCTTTGTATTGCTCTACATAGCAGAGCAATACAAAGCAATGTGCTTACACAGTAAAACACTCACACAGCACACAGTAAAACAGCACACAGTTAACCCTTTGATCACCCCAGATGTTAACCCCTCCCTGCCCAGTTTCATTACAGTGTCAGTGCTTTTTATTAGCACTGATCACTGTATTAGTGTCAATAGGGATGTCAGTGACAGTTAGTCGGTTCCCCCCCGTGTCGGAATGTCCGCCACAGTCCCGCTATAAGTTGCTGATCGCCGTCATTACTAGTATAAAAAATAAAGACAAATTCCAGTATCTATACCGCCATTTGTAGACGCTATAACTTTGACATAAACCAATTAATTTACTTGTATTGAGATTTTGTTTTTAGCAAAGACATGTAGCAGTATACATCTTGGCCTAAATTTATGACGAAATGTGATTTTTAAAATTTTTATACTGGACATGTTTAATAGCCAGAAATATAGTTTTTTTTTCAAAATTGAAAGTCTTTTTTTGATCCTAGCGAAAAAAAATTAAAAACGCAGAGGCAATCAAATACCACCCAAAATGAAAGCTCCATTTGTCAGAAACAGACGACATACATTTCATTTGGGTGCAGTGTTGCATGACCGCGCAATTGTCAGCTAAAGTAACACAGCACCATATCACAAAAAATGGCCTGGTCAGGAAGGGGGGGGGGGGGGGGGGGGTAAATCCTCTGGACAGCAAGTGGTTAAAGATCTGCTTAAACCAAAAATCAGTTTTTTTAGATTAGGAATTGTCTGCTGGTTTTTTATCAGTCTTGAAGACAGCACTGGTAATACTTCATTGCAGTAATTTAGGTGAGTCTTTTCCATGAGGCCATAATGAAGGGGCAATTCTTTAACAAAAATATTTAAATATTATATATATCATTATGGCAAGAAACCATTATTGTGGATTTGTATTGGCCTTGGCAGCTGAGCAGAAGTAGGTATTTTAGAGATAATGTCCTAGCATTATAACAGATACTGTATTGTATATGAAACCAGTACATGATTCAGCTTGCCAGTAGCCATACAAAACTGAAATATTTGTATTGTGTGTTGGTGGCTTTTAACTAGCAATCATTAGACTGGAAATGTAGTAAATCATAGTGTCAACTTTTCATAGCATGAAAACGGAGGTAAACTCTTGTTAAAAAAAAAAAAAAAAAAGGCAAATTATTGTCATCGCATACTAGCACATTATGAAAGACTTACCTTACAACAAAGCCCTCCAGCGGCACACTGTCACCGCTGACAGGGTTTCCATCTTCACTTGGTCTTCCTTTTGAGTTTGCGGGCTGGGATGGAGTCTCCCTCACATGTGCACAGGAGTCACGGCCGCAGCACAGGGCTCTGAAGGGATGGCATGAGTATGAATATTCCCATAGTCTTTTGGAACCTGTCACGTGTCCCAGAAGACTACAGGGAGGGAGGGGAGGAGCAGGTACCTGTCAAAGTTGGGTTCCCACGCCCCAAAGGTACCAATCCTTAATGGGGAGTGAGGGACGAGACATATGATTTTTTTTTACACTGTCCCTTTCTTTTTTTTTTTTTTGATCACTTTTATTGTTATCATAGGTAATATAAATATCCCTTGTGATAGCAATAGACAATGACAGGTACTCTTTTCTGAGAAATCTGGGGGCCTGTTAGACTTTAGATCTCTCTTCTGCCCTTAAAGCATCTGATCGTACCAAGCTTGGTGTGATCAGATGCTTTCCCAGTTTAAAGATGGCACTGTTAATATCCAGCGAAATGGAAATGATGAAATGCTCGAAGCTTCCAGTTTTTTAGACCATAGAGATGATTGGAGCCATTCTGGTCTCCAATCAGCTCTATGGTCAGCCAGGGGAACTGGTGGCTTCATACTAGGAGAGCCCAAGAAAACCATGGAAGGCAGCTGGAGGGGGTGGGGGAGGATTAGACAACATCCCTTCCTGCTGCTTGTAAAAATGATCCAGCAGTTACTGTATTTTTCGCTCCATAAGACGCACCTGACCATACGATGCACCTAGGTTTAGAGGAGGAAAACAAGAAAAAAAATATTCTGAACCAATGGACTGCAGACATAGTACAGGAAATGACCAGAGACTATGGACCCAGTACAGGAGATGACCAGAGACTGCGGACACAGTACAGGAGATGACCAGAGACTGCGGACATAGTAGAGGGAGAGGACCAGAGACTGCAGACATAGTACAGGAGATGACCAGAGACTGCGGACATAGTACATGAGATGACCAGAGACTGAGGACATACTACAGGAGATGACCAGAGACTGCGGACATAGTACAGGAGATGACCAGAGACTGTGGACATAGTACAGGAGATGACCAGAGACTGCGGACATACTACAGGAGATGACCAGAGACTGCGGACATACTACAGGAGATGACCAGAGACTGCAGACATAATACAGGAGATGACCAGAGACTGCAGACCTTTGGAGAGCGGAAGGGGGGGGGCAGGTACCCGAATTTAACAGGTACCCGCTCCCACTTCCATGGCGTTGTCCTACCTCCCTGTTCTTCTGGGACATGTGACAGGTCCCAGAAGACTGCTAGACCATTCACAAAGCGCAGCGCTTCTCACGCATGCGCAGTGGGCACACAGCTGTGAAGCCAAAAGCTGTCACAGCTGGGTACAGACACTAAAGATGCCGGCACCAGGGAGAGAAGATGGTGAGGGCACTGCTGGACCGAGGAACAGGTAGGACCAAAGAGCAGGTTCTACTGCACAGAAGAGCCGAGCGCCGACCCGGTATTCTAACATGGTGGTGGTGGGAATACTGGGTCGGCCGCTCCATATTCACTCCATAAGACGCACAGACATTTTCCCCCATTTTTTGGGGGGAAAAGTGCATCTTATGGAGTGAAAAATACGGTAATTAGTCACTAGGATTGCTTTTACATGAAACCAATCGACCACCAGCTGAAAGCATTATACCAGCATAATGCCTGTAGCTTCAGGCATCCCGGTATAACCACTCAAAATTCAGTCATGTACCAGTACATTGCTGGTCCATGTTGGGCATATATGTAACAGCAGAGAACATGGGCATATGATGAAACGGGTCTGTAGACCAATATGACCCCAATTCATTCTTTGTTGTAATACCCATGTTGAGGACTAGGCCCAAAAAAGTTTTAAATTAAAAAACCATGATCGGTTTGCATGCGAATTGTCTGGCAAGAGCTGAATTTGGGTGACTGACGATGTATTGTTGTGCGTATAAATTGCTTTGTTCTACAATCAATTGGTACAAATCTTCTGTTAAAGATAGCGGAAAAGCTAAACGTTAGTGCTGACAGCAAATGGAGCTGATCCTGCTAACACTGCGTTTTTGGGGACACTATACAGAGGAGGCACTAGTATAGTTCTGTTCGTGATCAATATATTGATCTATACAAACATTATACGAGCAGTAGCAGCGCCAGGTGGGGGTTCAACACCCCCAAAAAATCTTCAAGCACCTTCATAGCACCCCAAAATTTCCACTGAATTATTGCTCTAAAGTCCCACACTTTTTAAATAATATTATACCTGCTATTGTACAAAGATTGATCGGATCGATTGGGTTTGTCCTTATATTACATCAGTGTTGATCTTCAGTAGAAAAACACCAATCACTGCAAGGGACCATAACTGTTCACTGTGTTCCCTGTTCATAGATGGATGCAGCATTCGGGTGAGCAATGGTGGCGTAATCTACATGTCTGCGTTTTCCACCATCCCACACCACAGCTCATCCGCACCTTCATTTCTCCCTGTGTTTCCACACACAGCATCTGAGCTGCAATGCATATAATTGAATTAAATGCCACATGTAACATTTTAATAAAGTTAAAAATCAAAAATAAACAGAGCTCTGTACTTAAAGAGCATAAGACACCACCAGCCAGATGTAACACTTCCTGCACAGTAAAATGTGACGTTTTACCATGCAGGAAATGTCAGTTGTGGCCACAAGGGCTTGTTCACATTTGCAACAAAGGACAGTAATGGATAGGTTGCAGTTTTGCCACCCCGTTAATGTTACACAGTGGCTAGAGGGTGCTGTACGCATGCTGTGGTTGAGATATGTTATGGCCATAGGAAAAACTATACCTGTCGTGTTTGGTAGGCAGTTGTTCCATTGAATGCAAACCATTGAAGTGAATGGGACTACAACACAAACATTGGTAATGTATGTTGCTGTGAGCTTTTAAGTGGATAAAACAGGCAGTGAAAAAAAATGGCATATCACCTCCCAGCCACTTGTCAACCACCCTCTGAAATGTGATCCACTGCAAATGCAGGGAATAGCTGTCAGGGTAGCCCCAATACCTCTGGATGGGTCCTAACTAGGAGCTTTAACCCCAGTAATTTTTTTAATCATCCACCTCTTACCTTTTTCACTAGATATCCGCTATAAACATACTGACACAACCAACAAATCAGTTGTGATCTGCTGTGATCTGCTGCTCTACAGCCATGCCAGTTCCCACTCCAAAGTCTTCCTACATCATCAGGAGCCACCCCCCTGACAACATGCTGCCAGGTCCTACTTCCTATGGTTGAAATGTGGAAGCCGACGACTGCTGGGATATGTAATATGGAGATCCCAGGAGCGAGGTCCATGTTATAACTCATCCCTACACAAACCAAAATTATGGGAATAGAAGTAAAAATAAAAAATTATATATATATATATGCACACACACACAAGGCTTTTTTTCTGCTGGAACGTGGCAGACCGGTGTTCGGCCACCTCCGACACCGGCCCTATGCTAGGCATTCACTGCTGTCACTTGAAATCGCCGGAGCCCAGTTCCTGTATCTCCAAGTGACAGCGCTGCTCTACCGGCAGTGAACACACAGCCCTCCCTGTCCTGCATATCCCATAAACAGCAGAAGAGGGAGCAGGCAGAGGCGTAGGTTGGGGAGCTGAGAGGGTGGTACCTCAATCCAGGAGGTGCCGTCATGCCCAGAGCCCAGTTTCGCAAAGTGTGGCTGGCGGGAGCAGGAGAGGCAGAGTGATGTGACATCACCCTCCTCCTGCTGAAGTTCTACCCACCAACGGGCACCAATCGAGAACAGGCTAAGCTTTCTGCAGGTGCCATCTTCTCTTCTTCCCTCTGCACAGCTGCATTCTAAAAATAATGAGCGCAGCATGACTTTTGTTGTGACATCAGAAACAAAGGCTGCCTTTCCACACAGTAGAAGAGAAAGGAGCAAGATACAGCCTTATGTACAGTAAGCCTTTGCTTTGGGACTTAGGGCCGGTTCACACTATAGAAATGCAGTCCAGATGCGCGTCGGTTGCGTTTCTGCATGTACGTTTTTGACGCTTTTTTTAGAAAAAAGACACACACACACACATATATATATATATATATATACAGTGCAGTAAAAAAGTATTTAGTCAGCCACCAATTGTGCAAGTTCTTCCACTTTAAAAGATGAAAGAGGCCTGTAATTAGCATCATAGGTAGACCTCAACTATGAGAGACAAAATGAGAAAAGAAATCCAGACAATCACATTGGCTGATTTGGAAAGAATTTATTTGCAAATTATGGTGGAAAATAAGTATTTGGTCACCTACAAACAAGCAAGATTTCTGGCTCTCAGAGACATGTACCTTCTTCTTTAGGAGGCTCCTCTGTCCTGCACTCATTGCCTGTATCAATGGCACCCGTGTGAACTTGTTAGCAGTATAAAAGACACGTGTCCACAACCTCAAACAGTCACACTCCAAACTCCACTATGGTGAAGACCAAAGAGCTGTCGAAGGAAACCAGAAACAAAATTGTAGACCTGCACCAGGCTGGGAAGACTGAATCTGCAATAGGCAAGCAGCTTGGTGTGAACAAATCAACTGTGGGAGCAATAATTAGAAAATGGAAGACATACAAGACCACTGATAATCTCCCTCGATCTGGGGCTCCACGCAAGATCTCACCCCGTGGGGTCAAAATGATCACAAGAACAGTGAGCAAAAATCCCAGGACCACACAGGGGGACCTAGTGAATGACCTGCAGAGAGCCGGGACCAACATAACAAAGGCTACCATCAGTAACACACTATGCCCCCAGGGACTCAGATCCTGCAGTGCCAGACGTGTCCCCCTGCTTAAGCCAGTACATGTCCGAGCCCGTCTGAAGTTTGCTAGAGAGCATTTGGATGATCCAGAAGAGGATTGGGAGAATGTCATATGGTCAGATGAAACCAAAATAGAACTGTTTGGTAGAAACACAACTCCTTGTGTTTGGAAGAGAGAGAATGCTGAGTTGCATCCAAAGGACACCATACCTACTGTGAAGCATGGGGGTGGCAACATCATGCTTTGGGGCTGTTTCTCCGCAAAGGGACCAGGACGACTGATCCATGTACAGGACAGCATGAATGGGGCCATGTATTGTGAGATTTTGAGTGCAAACCTCCTTCCATCAGCAAGGTCATTGAAGATGAAACGTGGCTGGGTCTTCCAACATGACAATGATCCCGAACATACTGCCCGGGCAACGAAGGAGTGGCTTCATAAGAAGCATTTCAAGGTCCTGGAGTGGCCTAGCCAGTCTCCAGATCTCAACCCCATAGAAAACCTTTGGAGGGAGTTGAAAGTCTGTGTTGCCCAGCGACAGCCCCAAAACATCACTGCTCTAGAGGAGATCTGCATGGAGGAATGGGCCAACATACCAGCAACAGTGTGTGCCAACCTTGTGAAGACTTACAGGGGGGGTCAATATTTTACCATACCATCAGACAGAACATACACCTACTTCCCCCATTTACAAACACTGCTATTCTGATTAGGACAGAAGGAAAGATGATGAAAAGAAAGGTGAAACTCCTCATCATCTGGAGAGGGAGGGGGGAGACCAGCAAAGTTTACACAAGGAAGGCGCCAAAGGAGAGCACCCACTCTTGCAAGCTTTTTTGCGGTTCCCAAAAACCTCAATCCAGGATATAGAGGCCTTCTACAAGTTTACAGGTAAGTGTTCACTCTTCCTTTATGATAGGAAACCTGTATTTAGAGAAATACATAAGGCTGCCATTGCTGAACTAATACTGTAAATGTTATTTGACTGTCATGCTGATCCAAGGCTAGGTTCACATATACTGTATGCAGCGATGTTCACAATAGCCTGGCTGTATGGGGACTCTCCCTCCTCATTGGCTAAGACTGCAGCGGGAACCCATTGACTCCCGCTGCTGTCAATCACAGCCAGTGAGCCCGTGAGAGAGCTGCAGCTCTGTGAGTCTTATGGACGCATAGAGCAGCGACTCGGGAGTAAGTGTCTGCATTTTAAAAGTCAGCAGCAGGGGTGAACTGACAACTCATGGGGCCCCCGTGCAATAGGGGATTATAGGGCACCTGTGTCCTTACCCAAACTCAGAAAAGCCTATGAAAAAGGTACCAGGGGCATCTCATGGGGCCCCCTACTGACCCCGGGCCCTCAGGTCAGTGCCCGAATTTCCAAATGGTCAGTCCGCCCCTGGACAACAGCTACAGTTTTTGTATTTGCTGACTTTAATTGTTATTTTTTTCAAATGGAACTCCGCTTTAAAGTGGTTCTAAAGACAGATTTTTTTTTTTTTAACGTTGAAGCATTCTATGGTATAAAGGTTAAAAATGTTTTGCATGCAGCTCTCCCCCAGCCCGCCCTAATATATACCTAAGCCTGATCCCAATCTAGCGCTGAGGCTATCTCTGCTCTCTCCCTCCTCATTGGTTCAGAGACAGCAGTGGGAGCCATTGGCAGATCATATGTTTTTT